TAATAACAGGACCCAAGGTCTTCAGAATGGGTGAGCGATGACAGAAGGATATTCCTCCCTTTTTTGGCCCCCCGAAGGGGATTTTTTAAATTGCATTTTATTTATAGACTACAAAACTACAATGAAAAAAGGAAGGGGTACTACATTTTGGGAGAAAGAAAAGATAACCACTACTAACTAAAATCCCAAGAGAGGAGATCATCAAATTAGCTTGTTTACAATGCCATCTCTTAAATGCTACATTTTATGAACTTAGACATGCTTTTAAAAACTTTTAAATCTTGAATTTAACTGTTGTAAAAAGACCCCTCAGCATCTCAATATTAAAAAGAACACTATTTTATCTGTTTAGTGGTGCCCAATTCTGAGTCCTGGAAACCTCATTTTTTCTTATGTTGCCTCTTCCGCAGTTTATAAGGACTTTTAGGAGCCGCTACCCCTTTCTCGGACAGAGAGTCCTCTCCAGAAGACCCTGAGTCCAGGTCGCCACTGGACTTACTGTCCTTTTCTTCTTTATCCACCTCTTCCGGCTCACCCAGCTGGATTCTCAAAAAGTCCCGTGCTTTGGAAACAGAGTCAATCTTTTCTTTTTTATCCTGAAGTTTAAAGGTTACGCCCTCTGAATATATCCACCGGTAATTCATTGCATTTGTTTGAAGAAAAAGAATTAAATCTGTATATTTCTTTCTCCGTTGTCTTAATTCAAATGGGATATCTTTTAGGATCCGAATGGTACTGTCCCCAATTTTCAAAGGTGTCCCCGCCGTCGCTCTTAGGATACAATCCCTCACGTGTCTCTTCGAGAATCTCATTACAATTTCCCCAGACAGATTCTTCTTCTTTATGTATATGGAATAGGACCTGTAGACCACATCCATTTTGCTCATAAGATAGTCCACCTTCAAATCTGTCACTGGGGCCAACGCTTCGCTCATCGTTTGCTTCAGATTCTCTCCTTTAATCTCTGGAACGCCTTGGAAACGAAGGACCAGGTTTGCCTTCTCCATTTGTAATTATAAAAGCGGTTCTTCTGTTGAGATTTGCTTTCCCCCCCCAATTTTTGCACCTTTTTCTTCACCCTTTGAGCAGTGGCATCAACCTCTTTCATTTTCTCAGCTGTTTGTTCCGTGATTTTTAAAGTCTTGCTGATACATTCATTCATTTTTGACAGATGCTCCTTGAGGTTATTCATCTGCTCCAGCAGGGGGCGCAGGGACTCTGCCATCGTTTTAGCCAACTCGGTGGTTCAGAAGGCTATTCCTTACAGAACTACAGAAAGACTTCAGTAAGTGTTTTTTGACTCTGTTATTTTTTGATCACGGATGTTGTTTTTGGAGTTCCACCTCTTCCCGTGATCTCTCATTTTGGCTTCAACTACCAGATGCTGCCAGGAGACCTCCCAGAATTACACTGGATATCCAGATGACAGAGATCTGTTCACCTGGAGAAAATGGAAGGTTGACTGGATGGCGTTACACCAGGCTCCACCCCCAAATCTCGAGGGACTTCCCACCCCCAGAGCCATTTTGAGACTCCTTCAAGTAGAGAAAAGTGGGATATTAAAAAACAACTCTTCTTCTTCCATATCTGCCCATTGTTCCAGCAGTTACCTTTTGGCAGAAAATGCTGGGGGGGAAGGAGAGAAAGGCAAGTCTGACACATTCACCCATAATGCTTTGTAAAGAGCCATTTTGAATTTATGCTTTGGGCTTTGGGGTGGGATAAACAGGTGCCTAGAGACATAAAATGCTCACCTCTGTCGAGAACAAATGCAGGAGAGCGTCCACTGCCTAGCTCTACACAGTCAACAGCCGTCCATATATAATCTGTTTGTTTTCACTGGGAAGTTAATGGGAAATCCCCCATTAACTTTAATGGTTATAGATTGCATACAGAACTTGCCTGGAAGAAAAAATATTTGCACCATAAACCTTGCCTTGCTAATTTGAAATGGATTTGCCTTCTTCTCGGTCCACAGGCCACGGTGGAATCTCTGGCCAGGACATACCAGCTACAGATCGATGATTAATAAGATTTCCCACCTGAAACAGAAGAGGGCAGTTGGTGATGAAAGAAAACAGGCGTGGAGTACCAAGATGGTATTTGTGCAGTACTTTTTCCCTTCAGAGTCTGAATTACTCTTGAGGTCCTCCTCAATTCCAAGTGTGTTGGTAAAAGCTGCAGTTACTTGGTTGTGAGGTTCTTTGCATGCGCTCAGAGACATTCTGTTTATTCTAGGGCTACTCTAATGATGGTCTGAGCTACCCAAGGCACTTTAAAGAGGACGGTCTATAAATATTTTAAAATTTAGAAATAAATTCTGGGATTAAGCCTGTGATGAGTAGTGTTCCCTCTAAATTAGTGTGAGCTAGCTCACAGTTTTTTAGCCTCCAGCTCACACATTTTTTGTCTTAGCTCAGTAAGGGACGGCTCCAAAGCAAACTAATTGATGCAGCGGCCAAATCGCTCACTCACAACTTTAATGCCCAGTAGCTCACAAAGTAGAATTTTTCTCACAAGACTCCACAGCTTAGAGGGAGCGTTGTTGATGAGTCGCATTTTATCTGTGATCTGGGGAATGCATAACATGAGCAAGCAACGAAATCTCTTGTGGTAAAGTCACAACTGACTTCTGGCGACCCTGTAGAGCAGAGGTGTCAAACTCATTTGCTACAAGGGCCGAATCTGACATAAATTTCACTTTGTTGGGCCGGGTCATGTGTGCCATAAAATGTAATGCCAGGTACCGGAGATATAAACTGTATAAAGGACAGCAGCTGGTAAGCTCTGGATTGGTGTATCCTCACTGCAAGGCTCCATGGGCTCAAAGGGGGGTGCAGACGAAAACCCACACGGGCGGACTGGAGAGGCAGCAGTGCAGTGCTGGGCAGATGCTCCCATGATGTTTGACTGCTGCAGACGAGGTTGTTCTGCTGCGCTGAAGCCACAATGGAGTGGCTCCGCCCACTCCCCTACAGCACTTCCTACCTTGCATCAGTTGCATGATGATCAGTTGCCGCTCGGACATCACACGCGAGAGGTGGAATTTGCCCCTACAAGTCCAAGGCCACCACCCCGGGGCTCAGGGAGGCAAGGGAACATTTCGCCCCGTCCTCCCATGCGGGAGTCGGAGCTGCCGCTGAGAACAGCGACGGGGGCCATAACTTTTTAAAGAGCCCCTCCCGAGAGCTGGGGGAGCCAGAATGACCTCTCGCGTGTGATGTCCGAGCGGCAACATCACACGTGAGAGGTGGAATTTGCCCCTACGAGTCCAAGGCCACCACCCTGGGGCTCAGGGAGGCAAGGGAGCATTTCGCCCCGCCCCTCCCCCCGCGGGTGCAGCTGCCGCGGAGAACAGCGACAGCGGCCATAACTTTTTAAAGAGCCCCTCCCAAGAGCTGGGAGAGCCAGAATGACCTCTAGTGTGTGATGTCCGAGCCGCTCAGACATCACACGGGAGAAGTGGAATTTGCCCCTATGAGTCCAAGGCCACCACCCCGGGGCTCAGGGAGGCAAGAGAATGTCCCCCCCCCCGCGGGCGTCGCAGCTGCCGCTGAGAACAGCGGCGGCGGCCATAACTTTTTAAGGAGCCCCTAAGGACAGCTGGGGGAGCCAGAATGACCTCTGGCGTGAGAGGTGGAATTTGCCCCTAGGAGTCCAAGTCCACCACCCCGGGGCTCAGGGAGGCAGGAGAACGTTCCCCCACCACCACCGTGTCCCAACTGATGGCTGGTGAGAGCAGGGGGTGGGGCTTATGTGCCCGCCCCCTGGGCTCCTGACTGGGGGAGTGGTGCTCCTGCAGGAACCGAGGCCTGCTTGTAAATCTCGATCATTTCACCTCTCAGCCGTGGTTTCTCCGAGCTAAAGAGCCCCCCCCCCAAGCCTTTTAACCACAGGCAAAGTGTTCCAAAACTTTTTATCATTCCTGTTCCCCTTTCCCCAATGCTACAATATCCTTTCTGAGGTGCGGCGACCAGAACTGTACACAGTACTCCAAATGAGGTCGCTGGCACCAGATATGCACAAGATATTCACATACAGGGGGTAATGTTCCCACTAAGCTGTGGATTCTTGTGAGCAAAAACATTCTACTTTGTGAGCGACTGGCATGACAGCGGTGAGCGAGCGATTTGGCTACTCCATAAATTAGTTAAATCTGGAGCCCCACCTTCCTCTTTTTTTTCTTTTTAAAATATTGTTAATGGTTTTAACATAATTTACATTCCTTATGTCTTGTTAAGGAGCTGCGGTGGCTCAAGTGGTTAAGACGCTGAACTGCAGGCTGTGGAAGGTCAGTAGTTCAGCAGTTCGAGACCCGAGTGTGCCGCATGACGGAGTGAGCTCCCGTCTCTGGTTCCAGCTCCTGCCAACCTAGCAGTTCGAAAGCAAGAAACTGCAAGTAGATAAATAGGGACTTCGGTGGGAAGGGAACAGTGTTCCGTGCGCCTTGGTGTTTAGTCATGCCGGCCACATGACCACGGAAACGTCTTCGGACAGCGCTGGCTCTTCGGCTTGGAAACGGAGATGAGCCCCGCGACCCTAGAGTCGGATTCGACTGGCCTTCAAGCAAGGGGACCTTTACCTTTACCTTTGTCTTGTTAACATATAATATCATAGTCTTTACATCGTTTGCATTCCAAAACAATGTTGACACCTATTGTAGAGTCTCATACGTTTAAAGGGAGCCCATCCTTCTTCCTGACCGAAGACAAAAGTGTGCGAGCCGGAGGCTAACGAACTGTGAGCTGGCTCACACTAACTCAGCTTAGAGGGAACACTGGGAAGAGGCTGAGAGGCACGTTCCCGAGGGAGCTGCGCTATCTCCGTTCTTATTGTATTGTTGAAAGTGGCCCTCCGCCTCCCGCCAGCCACTGCGGTTGCGGCTCTCGGCGACCGCGGTCCTCCTCCAGCGCCTTTGCAGGGCGCGCGCCGGGCCTGAGCGGAGAAAGGAGGCGGCGCTTCTGGGGCCTTTCCCCGCCCTCCCCTCACGCCCGCCCGGGTCATGGCGGAGGCGCTGCTCTCCCGGCTTTCCAGGCGCCGCTTCTGGGGCGGCTTCGTGTGCGGGGCGGCCCTGGGCGGCGCCGCCACCGCCGCGGCCCTGGCCGCCGCGCAACGAGTCCCGGCCGACCGCCGCCGCCCCTGTGAATCCCCGCCCCCTTCCCGCCACGACAGCAGCCCCGCCGGCGAGCCCTTGCGGGAGGGTAAGGCAGGCTCGGCGGAGCGCGCGGGCGCGGGCGGGCACTCTCTCGTCCCTGGGTCTGCTTCTGGGGGCGACGAGGAAGGCGCCGGAAGTGGGGTGAATACTTCACCTCCACCCCCCCCCACACACACACACCCCCAGCAGGGCGTGGAGTCCACCTAGGAGCGACTGGGATAGTTCTGGGCCAGGGAGAGGCCTCCCGAGAGGCAGCTGCGGGGTCCCAGAGCCCCAAGAAGGTGGGGGTTAAAACGGGCATGGGGGAAATAGCAAACGGGACAGGGAGACGAGCAAATGAGGATTGTCAGCCACCCTTTGCGTGCAAGTGGTTCCCAGTTATCCAGTCCCTTTCAGAGAAGGACGTGGTCCCGTCTTTAATGATGGATAAACATTGGCTCTGTTTTTGGATTTGAGGCATCATAGATTAGTAAATTGGTGGCTCATGTGGTTGAGACGCTGAACTGCAGGCTTGGAAGGTGGGTAGTTCGGCAGTTGAGTGTGGCATGACAGAGTGAGCTCCCCTTTCTGGTCCCAGCTCCTGCCAAACTAGCAGTTCGAAAGCAAGAAATTGCGAGCAGATAAATAGGCACCACTTCGGTGGGAAAGTAACAGTGTTCTGTGCGCCTTGGGGTTTAGTCGTGCCGGCCACATGACCACGGAAACGTCTTCGGACAGCGCTGGCTCTTCGGCTTGGAAACGGAGAACAGCACCACAACCCTAGAGTCGGATTCGACTGGCTTTCGAGCAAGGGAACCTTTACCTTTTTACTCAGAAGTAAGGCCCAGTGGCTTCAGTGGGAATTACTCTCAAACTGGCGTGCAGTGAACTGCTGCTTTAAGTGCACAGCATTGCAGACAACTGTTCCGCAGATAGTAAGAAACAAGCCATGAGGAGATGGGGCACTTTAGCCATTTGTACTCCAGGCACTCTTCAGCAGGCACATGAAGCATTATCCTCAACTGGAACCTGTTGTGTCTATACGTATTTATGGAAGATAAATGTAAAGAAGGGGCCCCAAAATTAATCTTCCTCCTCCTCCTCCTCAATTGGTACTTGTGTATATACATATGTATGGAAGATAAATGCAAAGAATGGGGCCCAAAACGACTAATAATAACAATAATAATAATGATGATGATGATGAAGACCTCAAAACTTGGAGGGCACAGATAAAAGACATGGTGGAGGTCAAGAGGCCTTGAAATGTAGATTTGTGGCTTTTCTGTGCCAACCTTACACCTATGAAAGGGAAGATGTATTTGAGCCTCCGATACGTCTTCCCTTCATACGTGTAAGCTTAGCACAGAAAAGTCACAAGTCTCCGACGTTTCACAGCCTCTCCGTTATTTACCATGTCTTTTTTTCTATGCCCACCTTTTTGCATTCTACCAGCAGGGTGGGATTCTGGTGGTGCAAAGGAACATCTCCAAGCCAAGAACTCCAGTCTCTGGAGTCTGCAGCCCATTTATTTATTCATTTTGAGATTCTATTTGAAATTAAACATATAACATACAACAAATAACATGTCACAACAAAGAGCACAACAAGACAATAATGATTCAAACAACGTTGGTTATGATGTGTGAATTCAGCTTACTAGCTACTAGCCTTAATACGAAATGCTTTTGTGTGGCCTAAACCCTATTGCTTACATCGGCCTATGAGAAAGTTAGAAGCAGTTGTAGATTTCCCTTGCTCGAAAGCCAGTCGAATCCGACTCGAGGGGGCGGTGCTCATCTCCGTTTCGAAGCCGAAGAGCCAGCGCTGTCCGAAGGCGTTTCCGTGGTCATGTGGCCGACAGCACGGAACGCTGTTACTTTCCCACCGAAGCGGTGCCTATTTATCTACTTGCAATTTTTTGCTTTCGAACTGTTAGGTTGGCAGGAGCTGGGACCAGAGAGGGGAGCTCACTCTGTCATGTGGCACGGGTCTCGAACTGCCGAACTACCGACCTTCCAAGCCTGCAGTTCAGCGTCTTAACCACATGAGCCACCAATTTACTAATCTATGATGCCTCAAATTCAAAAACTGGAGATGGGAGCTCACTCCATCATGCGGCACCCAGGTCTCGAACTGCTGAACTACTGACCTTCCACAGCCTGCAGTTCAGCGTCTTAACCACTTGAGCCACCGCAGCTCCTTACTTCTGAGCAAATATGCATATATCACACTTCAAAGAGCCCGAACTGTGCACTCTGATGTCCCCCGATTTCAATCCCAATCAGTCACTGGATGATCAGAGACAAACCTCTGTCTCTCCCTGCCTAGATCCTACATGAGGGTGATAGCGCAATCTGTCTAGCAGGATTGTTTTGTAAAGATTCTTGATGGTGTTTGTGAAGTGCTTCAAGCATGCTTAAGCGCTGCACGTATACTAATAATTAGTCTCGTTGACGTCCCAGGGTGCGATACAGCAACCTTGTTGAAACTAAGCGAGGGACCAATGCATGGTTGGGCATCCCATACAGCCCATGTGGAGCTCCATACTGAAAGAAATGCAGGTTGTGAGTGTGTGTGTGTGTGTACAGTGATGTCAAGTCGCAGATGACTTCTTGCAACCCTGGCAAGGGGCTTCCAAGGCAAGTGAGAAGCAGAGGTGGTTTGCCATGGCCTTCCTCTGCAGAGTCTTCCTTGGTGGTCTCCCATCCAAGACTTATGGCGACCCCAGCAAGGGGCTTCTAAGTCAAGAGAGAAGCAGAGGTGGTTTGCCATTGCCTTCCTCTGCAGTGTCTTTCTTGGTGGTCTCCCATCCAAGACTTATGGCGACCCCAGCAAGGGGCTTCTAAGTCAAGAGAGAAGCAGAGGTGGTTTGCCATTGCTTTCCTCTGCAGAGTCTTCCTTGGTAGTCTCTCTTCCAAGTACTGACCCTGCTTCGCTTCTGAGATCTGTTTGAAACTGGCCTATACCGTGCTGCCTTCCTTCCTGAGCCAGGTTTATAGATATCATATCATTATTATTCATTGTACTTATATAAGATTGAGTTAGCTGTTATTGTGAAAGAAGGCAATTCACTTGATTAAAAATGTAATGAAACAGAATTTTTAATAATCTTAGGCGTGTATCTTTTACATGTGAAAGATTCACTGAACAATTCTTCTCTTTGGCTGTTATTCTAGTACCTCAGGGGTGGCATGATCATTACAGTTTTACGGAATTAGGCTAAGTAGGCTGAAGGCCGCTTCTTCCTTTTTGGAGACACTGTCATCATAAGCAGGTAGCTGAGTGGGAACAACTTTAGGAAAAAAATCCCCTGCCCCATTTATCCTCTGCCCCATTTATCCCCTGCCTTTATCCCCCGTGGGTACCCAAAGCAGCTTACGCCATTTTCCTTGTGTCCATTCAATGACACTGTGATGAAATAAAAGATCATTTGTTATAAATTCAGTGGCATTCTAAGCTTTATGGAATATGGGATCATGGTCGACGGACAGGTCGTCAACTGACAATGTTTTGTGGTCTGGACCAGTCCTCCCTCTAAGCTGAGTCAGTGTGAGTTAGCTCACAGTTCTTTAGCTGCCACTGTGGAGTCGTGTGAGCAAAAATTCTACTTTGTGAGCTACTGGCACTAAAGTTGTGAGCGAACACTTTGGCTCCTGCATAAATTAGTTTGCTCTGGAGCCCTCCTTCCTGAGCCAAGACAAAAGTGTGTGAGCCGGAGGCTAAAAATCTGTGAGCTAGCTCACACTAACTCAGCTTAGAGGGAACACTGGCTGCCAGCTCACACATTTTTGTCTTAGCTCAGGAAAGATGGCTCCAGAGCAAACTCATTTAAGCAGTAGCCAAATCGCTTGCTCGCAGCTTTAATGCCAGTAGCTCACAAAGTAGAATTTTTGCTCACAAGACTCCACAGCTTGGAGGGAACATTGGTCTGGACCGCCTCTACCCATATGTGCCCTGGAGAGCCCTGCGCTCGGCAGACCACCATTTACTGGTTGTCCACAGCCTGGAGAAGAAGAAGAAGAAGAAGAAGAAGAAGAAGAAGAGGAGGAGGAGGAGGAGGAG